AATGAATTCTAAGACTTTATCGATATATCATATTACATTGCTTTGGTATCCTCGTTCAGATGTTTTCTCTGCTATATTCTTAAGAGTAATCAATTACAAATCTTTAATACATAGGGTAAAGAGAAATATAGGGCATGCGATAAATTGTATGCCCTAAAATTTTCTTTGTCTCATCATTAATTGTTTTTTCAAGGGATTTCAAAACAATTAATGATCAGCCACACTTTCAAAATGTTTAGAAGAGTACCTTTAGCTAAAAAACACCACAATTTCCTTGTAGACATTAAGTTGTTTTGGTTTTTACTTGCTTTTCTTTTTTTTTCGTGCTACAGCCAGTAGTAGGCCTAGGTTTATAGAATAAAGTTTTTTCAAACTTTTCTGTTCTTAAATTTGAATAATGACATTTGCAATCTAGAGGAAATGTTATTGTTAGGTCTTTTGTTAGAGCATCTAATTATCTTTATTTAGATCTTCCTCAGGGTCAATTTAAGATTTTCATAAAACTTTTATTTTCATTTATTCTTTCTAGATGGTTCTGCCATTTCCAGCGTCACGAATTTTAAGAAAGTAATGGGAATACTTCTTTTGTTTAACCGAAACGAGAGAACATAGTTCAGTGACGTAATCCAGTAGAAAAGAAACATGATTAGATATTTTTCTACCTGTAAACTTGACCGAAAGCGTTACGAAGGAACCTGGTCATTTCATAGACTTGAAGGAAAAATAGGTGGTGCGAAATTGGAATACTTTTAGACCATTTTCTAAAAGAGGTAGCAATTCAGAAAAAAAGAGCCTCTCAATCAGGTGACCCAGAACCGCGGTGACTCAGAGAATAGAGAGTTCGCCTCCCTATGGGGTGACCCTGGTTCGTGTCACAGAGATGGTTGATCGATACAAATTCTTCTGCCAGCTCACACCGCCCATAGTACTGACATGAAATAGCCTTAGTGGCAAGCCAATCATGCTTTAGAATGCTGTTGTCATCGAGGAAACCGTGACTGGTTTCGTGGTTTTCTACTCCATGTAACGCAAATGAGGAAAGATTCAATGCAAAAAAAATAAAAAATACTGTCAAATTATTTGATCCAGGTGTTCTCTTATAATCTGATTTTGGTTTAAAATTACAAAGCTACGGAGTTGAACTTGACTGCCACAAACTAGAAAATAAGCCAGCTGCCAAATGAGAATAAAATAGGATTAAACGGATGATAACATAAAATAAGATTGAACGGCCAGGTAGGTTCACTATTTTTTCTATTATATTCTTATACTATGAAACTCAGTGGAAATTTTGAAAATTAGTAAAGTATATGCCTGGTAAAAAGTTTAATATAAACACGTTTAAAAAAAAATGTCACTTGTCATTTTTTTTATCCAAATCTCTTGAATTGATGACCAGGTGGTGACGAAAGACGTAAGTTTTGCGTTAAAATTTATCTATTCAGGGTCAAATTATGAGCTGATGTAGGTATATCGAGAATAAGAAATAATATAAAGTTTTCACTTTTGCACAAATCCTTTTAGATCTTGGGTAAGTAAATTTGAAACGTAAAATAAATTAATCTCATTAAAAAAAACTATTCAATTTTGACGTAAGTACCCTTAGTTCATATTTTTCTAAGTGCGATGACGTTTTTTACAGTTCTATATTAGAAATTGGCCCTCCTCTACGCCACCTCTCTTCTCCGCCTAAGTTCTCGACCATATAGTGCGGCAATGGCAATGACTTTGGTTTTCTTGATTACTGAAACTTCTTTAATGATAACTTGAGTTAGTCCTTTTATATTTCCTCTATTTCCTGGATGCATAAGTTAGGATATATTTTTTGTCCAATCAAATGTATAATTTTTTTTGAAAAAAAACCAGACATTATTTTGATTATGTACTGAAAAAAATAATTAGTCACTGCAAACTCGTTGACATCAAAAAGGAGAAAAGAAACATGACAAAGTAGGCAAAGAAAAAAATTAATCTAAAAGATGAAAAAGGAAATATATATTTTTCAATACAGGAGAATAATCAGCATTGTCAAAGAAAAGAAATAGTTTCATTAGTGATATATGCTGCTTGGCGCAAAGAAATAAATAATTACAAATTCAGTTTCTTTTCCAGAGAATTTTGGCATCGTTTTCTATTTTAAGCCATATAAGAACCGAAAAATCATTAGAAAGTAAGAGGAAAACTGTTACAACAAAACACATGTCTCAAACACCATTAAATACAATGAACAAAAAAATACAATAATACAAAAGGATGTCCTTTCCTTATCAATTGCAGATTTCTTGAAGAGGTAATATTTTTCTACAGCGTTGGCGACCAACTGGCGGTTGTCAAGAGCATATTGATTGACTCGAAACGGAATCAATGAGCTTTTCTGTCATTAAAGAAGGAGTAACTTGGATATCACTCGTGTTTTGCATAAGGAATGATTTGTGGAGATCGCCAAAGAATAACAAAACACTCATTTGTTTGATGAGTTTCGGATAAAGAAAAATCTATGAATGAAAAGAAGGCTTTGACGCAAAAATGGACGACAGAGTTGATTTATGTATTTTGAAAGAACGTTGTAAATAGGTTCAGAAAAGGATGGGAATGTGTTAGAATCTCCTAGGTTGCTGGGACATTAATCTCCTAAAAAAATTCTGCTAGGATGTAGCGAGATAAAACTTAATATTAATGAAAAGAGGATTTTCTTTTATATTTCGTGTTAAGTTTTTGAAGATTTAGAAAATTGCATAAAAGATATGTTGTATAAAAGATACCTAATATTTTTTATAATACAGCCCCGTGATATGCTATAAAATATCGATGCATCTTCAATATCGTATCATTTTTCTTTTTTTTTAAATTTCACTATTGATAATTTACAACATGTATATCTTCATGATTCAGGGGATAGAGCATTCGCCTTCCAATGAGGTGAACCGAATTCGAATCCTTGCGATGGCTGGTCGACACGAATTCCGCATCCGACTTGCACCGACCACAGTGCTGATTTGAAATATCCTCAGTGGTAGACGGATCATGGGTTAGAGTCCCCTTGCCGTCAGACTAACCGTTGGAGTTTCTCGTGGTCTTCCTCTCCATGTAACGCATGTGCGGGTTAGTTCCATCAAAAAGTCCGCCACGAAGGCGATTTTCTCTCAATACTACTTGATCCAGGAGTTCCCTTGTCTTCTGGATTGGGTTCAAAACTACAAGACTACGGAGTTAAACATTAGTAGTCGTAAACCAAAAATTGAGTTGGTTGTTCAACGACGGTTATAAAATAAAAAGTAAAAAAATAATATACATCGGTAATGTGCTGCCCCCAACGAATATCGAATATAAGGTAATTAGCGACAATTATAATTTTTAAAGACAGAGGATATGATTGGTGCACATCGTTGGCGACCAACTTGCAGTTGTATAGAACATATTGATGGACTCGAAACGGAATCAATGTGCTTTTTCGTCATTAAATAAGGAGTAACTTGGACATCACTCGCGTTTTGCATACAGAATGATTTGTGCAGATCGTCAAAGCTCCAATTTGTCTCTCTTTCTCCAAAGCTCCAATTTGTCTTTCGCATAAAGTAGAAAAGTCCACGAATGAAAAGAGTGCTTTGGAGCAAAATAGTTTCCGGTTTGTAAATATGTTGGGAAAAGAGTGAAAATGATTTTGAATCTTGCAGAATTCTAAGTCTATAATTACTTTTAAATTTCAACTACATTGCATCGAGATATAAAGAACACATTTTATAGGCTCTTAAAAAACTATTTAATACACGAAAAAAAGTAGCCTAGAGGTTCCAATACCTTTTTCCATGCAGCCATGGAGCCCATATATTATCGTCCTTCTATTAGCAAAACCCTTATGTCGGTAAAGTTCATAAGCAATAAAAATACTTATTATCCAGAGAAAGTCAATTGATTATTTTAAAACGTTTAAAGTACGTAAAGTGATATAATTTTATCGTGTTATCAATAATGCTTTTAAAATCAGATTTTGTGTCAGATAGTTGAATTTGCGCTAGACTGGAGAGGCGTTTGGTCCAGTTCTGAATTAGTGTTTGATGTAGGAAACTGCTGAATATGAAGTTGAATTATGATCTTATTTAAAGTGAAAAAAATTAAAGAACTGTTATAAAGGTTGAAAATCGGTTATCAGGAAAATTTGATTTGAGAAAGTTCAATGAAAAAAAAATTGAAAAGTTTGCCGGGAAATAATAATGAAATTTTGGGAAATGCATATCTTTTTCATAATCTAATCAATACATTGTTGTCAGAATAAATATACATTTTATTTTGCATTTTGTTTTTAATAGTATTTTACTTAAATAATGTTTTAAAAATAATTTAAACAAACATAAATAACGAAGACATTAATATTTGATAAAATACAAGAAATGATTAGATATAGTTATAATTACAGGTACCAAAAGTCATAACTGATAAAAAGAAATCTAACTCCCTGTAACCCTTACATGGAACCCTTGTTTACCGTTTAACATCTTTTGGGAACAACTGGCATAAAGAAAGCTAATTATTTTAAATTAGGCTTTGTATTGCATTGACGCATAGAAAACTATCCATACTTTTTTAAATAGTGAAAAAGCGTTAAATTAGAAAATACTTAATAGTATGTCTTACAATAAATATCAAATACCTTGTTGAAGTGTACCAAATATCACGATAGATTACCAAACATATTATTACGAGCAAAGTCAACAACATAATTATTAAATACTGTAATATCACGATTATCACTGCAACGAATTTTACAAATACAATAATTTTATACATATATCAATTATTCAAGTTATTATCGTAAGTCAAGTTATTATCATATGGCTGGTTATTATCGTAAATAATATAACCAATTTCGATCTTGTTACATCGATAACGTTATGGATCGAATATTATTCTGAACGACATATTATTTCTATCGACATATTATTCTGAACGTGTAAAAAAAACACGTCACAGTAAAAAGAAATGCTATAAAGTAGTAAACTTACCACCAGTACAAGAAAAAGGCAAAGAATGGTAAAGAAGAAGCGAGGGCGACATTATGCCAATCCCTGACCCAATATACCATCACAGTTATGAGTACACCTCCCAGGCTGCGATAAAGATAAGTAAACTGAAGAGCATACCCCTTCCATGACGATCCCATCAACTCTTGAGCTGGAAAAAAAATAATAGAAATGATTTGATATGGTGTTCCGAGTGCTAAATTGAAGATCCAGTTATTGTAAAAATGACATTTATTTAAACAAGTAATATGAATTTTTTTTTTTGAAGTCAATTCCTACTTGGATTAACAATGAAAATATTTATTTTAGTTTCTTTTTATTAAATAATAAATTTTTTCTGTCCCATATAAAACTAAAATTAATTAAATTTAATTAATGAAATAATATTTGAAAAAACGGTATTAACATCAAGTGTCATACACTACAAGTTTTAAAAAAATGTATTTGAACTTGAATTGACGAATTAAAAGTATTTTATTAACGATTGAAAATTGGAATAAGATATAGGGAGAATGTAAACTAATAGTAAGAATTGAATAACATAATGCTTTTCATCTTTCAAGTATACAAGACAACGTCAATTCCATCTTTTTAGACGACTTTTTTTTACGATGACATAAAAACTAATTTCATAGTAGGATGTTCTTTAGGCGATGAAAATGTTAAAACACGTTCTAGAACTGATTAAAAACACAACTGAAAATATTAAAACATGAACTAGGACATAATTAAAGCACAACTCTATTTGAAAAAACTACCAATAGTAACATTAAAAACTTAACTTTTTAATAATCTTAAACATAACAGTTCTACCAAATAATAAACATCATACTGAAGAACAAATCAAAAACTGAAAACCATCGGTGGCGTAACTAGATCACTTAAAAAATACAACAATAACGAAGGCGCAACTGGATCACCCATCGTTTCGTAATTTATTATCGTTTTCAAATTCAAAAAAAAATAAATGATCTAGTTCATCGCTTTGAACAGATATAATTCAAACCTATATAACAGTAGAGATAATAGATATAGTATCCCATAACGAATAGTCCACATTTCTCAATATAAACTAAATTCTACTGTCCACTTTCAGTCAATAAGTCCCAAATTTTGATTGTTACGTGCCTTTTTCATGGACTACTATTTCATTTTGCTAATAAGCTTTGTTTCTCAAAAATATTATATACTTCCTTCATATAAGTAAGTCAATTATTATCTACTTTCTCTTTGAGTTTTTTGATTTTAAGAATGTTATATACCTCAGTCTATTACCTTACTTATCAGATGTAGAACATTGAAATAAAAAACAGTGTAAATATCATTTGCATACATTTCAGAAGAAATAACTACATTATAATTTTTGAACCACATCGAAAATATTTAAATAGCTAACTGGGCAAGAAACATATCGATAGAAAAAAATCGAACGAACAAGAAAAATGGAATATCTCGCTTTAAGTACCTATGTCTTATTCTTGATTTAATGAGATTCATAAATCAGAAAATTGTGTTCTCTTGTTCAGAATAATTGCCTAAATTAGCATATTCGTTCTTTCAAAAATCTCTTACGTCATTCACAAAACATTAAAACACTTGTAAAGTAAATTAAATTTGACTACATACAAGTTTACTAAGTGCAAACGAACATGGCAATTTAAGATGTAAAATGTATCTGTCTGGTACAGCTGTTCGGACCTTTATTATAAATTCTGTAAAGGTTTCAATGTAATGGGCATATTACAGACGAACAACCCATTATATCCATGTAGGATGCTTTTAAAATATCATGTTTGAATGGAAAATGGAATGGAATCAGGCATAGCAATAAGCATTTATTTAGAAAGGAAAAAAATTAAAAATGTATCTTAAAATATTTTCTTCTTCTTTTTGATTCGAAAAGATAATTTGTTTTTCTTAAATTGCATGCAGATAGTTACTTTTTAATCCCAATGGATTTATCAAGCAACAGACTACATAAAAAGTATTAGACAGCATTAGAAAGATAGACGTACTATTTATTGTGTTTTACATAGGAAGTTATTTCTTCCACATTCCAAAGTTAGTTACAAAATTAATCGAAAGATGCCGCCTTAGCTTGGAAAATTTAAAAACACTTGATGTCAGGACCCTCCGACTGAAATATTTATTTATTCAGACAAGAAAGTAACTGATTTTTAATATTCCAGAAAACTTATATTTCTATCTTCATTTTTCTATTATCGATTTTATTTTAACTGATTTTATGGACATTTGGAAATATACCAATAAACCTTCAGTAAGGATTGGTGTATTACATATATCAAAACAGTCTTATGTATCGTTTTAATATATGTTATTTAGAATTTCTAATTTTAATTTTTGTCTATAAAACCGTTTCAATATTTGTTATTTAATTATCCTTCTAAAATTTGTTATTTAATTGAAGAATGGAGTTAAAAAAATACAGTCTTAAATGTAACTCAAAAGTAAAAGGATAATAAGAATGAAATGTATGTAACAAGTTTTTCTTGCTTTCCAAATGTTAGGACATGATTTTAGAATAATAAGAGATGATTTTTTAAAAACTCTTTTGATCGCTTCATATGGACTAATTACAATTAATGTGTGTGAGCCTTTTGTTTGATTTGAAAATTAAATTTAGATTTTTTTATAAATATAAATTGAAACTTACATGCCTAGTTTATAAAAAGGCAATAAGATTAATAAGACAATAAATGGCAATATAAAATTTAAAATGTTTGAAGAACATTGAAATAAGCTGTATCTGATACTTAAAAAAATATTAAACATACTTCGAGACATTTTTATTTCATTCTTGTAGACACATTTAATTTCCTTTTTTTTATATCTTTTGAACTAAGTTTTTGTTTTTCGTATTTTGTGAACTCAGGTTGTGAAAATACGTATGCATATCCGCACCAAAATATACTGTAATTTTAAATAATAAAATTTGAGGTTCAAGAGAAATTAGGTGAATAAATTTTGAGAAATTAAATTTAAAAAATAGGATATACGATATACGAAAAATAGGATATACGGTAGGATATACGATACGATATATTTTAAAATTACGATAAGCGCAAAATGTATTATAAGTTCATGGGCTAGATTTAGATAATTATCACTTTTTAGAAATAATTGACACAAGTTAATTCTGCAAGGAACGAGTTTTTAGCTAACTTGAACTTGCAAAAATAAATTTTACTTACAAATAAGAATAATATATATTTTGGGCTTTAAATGAAATAAGCAAAATGCCTTAAATAAATCACTAGCTTCACGTTGTTATGTTTTATTCTGTAACAATATTTACGTCAATACAAAAATTTATCTATTTGTACATAAACTATTAGGTCTTGAAAGTTGCTTGAATAAAAGGCACATTGATATGGTCTCCCTAGCCTGATTTGTCACGTGTCAAGTATTGATTCCATTACATCCTTATATCCTACAAGTATTTCTACTACATAAACTAATAATAAGATAAGAACTACTTCAATCAACCAAAGGTTTTTTTACCACACACATAACAACGATTCTTGCATAAATTTGCGCGGCATAAAACATACCAATGGTAAAATACGGCTAATAAACTGAGTGAAAAAGAAATTGATGTTTATTGCAAACACAATTCACTGTGATTGCTCTTGAACGTTCCAATATTGATCGACAATTTGAAAAAATCAATTAAAAGAGGAAAATCAAGAAACTTATATACATTTCGCTGCGTTCTGCTAATGAAATGCATCTTTGTTTCGCTTTATTATTACAACATAATTCAATTCTTTCTCAGTTGTTAGCATAGAAAACTGTTTTTGTTAGTATGGAAAACTGTTGTTGTTATTATAGAAAACTGTTTTTGTTAGTATGGAAAACTGTTGTTACTATAGAAAACTGATTTTGTTAGTATGGAAAACTGTTTTTTCTTCTTTTTTTTAAAGTTAACATCATTATTTGTTGACGAAAATTGTAATTATTAAAGAAATTAATAATAATAATTATCAGATTCAATAAGCAGAGCAGTAAACCGTGCTTTCTCATCTTAATCTTTCATTTTTCGTGAATAGATTTTCAAATAATTCCCACCCGCTTATTTTCTATTCAAGCTGTTGTTATTTCCGTTCCACTGTTTTCTACCGATTTCCTCCTCTACCGATTAACGCCACTGGTGAAGATGGGACTTTAATTAAAAACCAATTTAAAATACTTGATTTACTTTCATTGAAAAACGTATCGAAATATCTACACATTTACGATATATAATAAACTAAAAAGGAAAATATGTTATAATAAATTTAGTGTTTTTAATGCATAACCACTGCAACAAAAAAGGGACATGAAATTGGATTCATCTGTATGAGAATCTGTGGACGAATCGAGCAAGTAATGAGCTCGAATCACGAAAAAACCAAAACGGAAAGTGACCGAACTCTCACGAACCATTCCGAATGTGGGTTGTAATGACGCGTAATTAAGACAACACTGCAAAATATAGTTTAACTGACGTTATTTCATAAGGTTGGCGTGGATTCGCGTATCATAATGGTTTAATATATTTTTGCAAATTTCAGTATCATTACCTAACTATCGAATAATTTCGTTTGAATGAGAAGATAACTGTAAACATTAGAGCCCCTGAATTAGATTGAATTGATAGTATAGGAGCCTTAGTAAACATAATATAAAGTAATATTAAAAATTATCTGGCTAGCAAAAGCATAAAAAAAAAGAAACAAAACATATAACGAGATAAAATAAAAGCACGTGATTTTGATGAGAGAGTTGTTGATTTTTGAGAAGATTGGCTTTTGTTTTTGGAATTTGAGGTTTAAACTAACCAGTTACGAGCTTTCCGATATTTTTGCAAGGTTGTTACTAACCCGTTTCGGGTTTTCCTATATTTTTGCAAGGTTGTTACTAACCCGTTACGAGCTTTCCGATATTTTTGCAAGGTTGTTACTAACCCGTTTCGGGTTTTCCTAGAGCTATCCGATATATTTGCAAGGTTGTTACTAACCCGTTTCGGGTTTTCCTATATTTTTGCAAGGTTGTTACTAACCTGTTAAGGGTACTTTAATTTTGTTACTTTATGTGTAGTTTTCAAACAAAAGTTGCTTTTTTTTATAGAAAAAACTGTTTCTAAATATA